AATAAATAAATAAATAAATAAATAATAAAAGCCTAATGGACTTCAAAAGCAGGACCATGCACCTCCGCAAGCATAGGCCACAAGTTCCAAAGACCCAGGAAGCTTTTCAAAGCAAATTCACTAAGAAGGAAAAGTTCCCCCTATCATCAGACCTTTCCTTGGATCCATGAAACAGGAAAAACCTATACAGGAAATAAAAGAGTCGTCTCCAGAAGTAGGGCTACAAGAAACCCAGAGTGCTGTGGACAGAAGTCCTATGAGGCAGCTTGTCTGGTGGGAATAGGAAAAGGGAGGGTTGAAAAAGGGAGGCTCTAAGAAAGAGGGGCTCTATCAAAATGAGACCTACAAAGATAAGAGTGTGGAGGAAACAACAGTGAGTGAGATAAAATAACAACAAACAGGGTAATCATTCACCCCAGGAAAACACATGAGGGGAAGGAAATCAGTGTAACGTACTGTGCTCAGCTCTCCACTGTTTACATAGTGACAATGACATAAAATCTACTGGTTGATTTGGTCAAAAAAAAAAATGATGTAACAATAATAGAAGAAGAAGAAAGGACCAGGGACGTGAGTGTATTCCTGGGTGTTTATATGTATGTGTATTTAAATGTGTGTGTGTTGGTGTGTTTAGCTAGGCAAAACACATAGGGCAATCAAGATAATTCCTCATTTGCTACAACAAGAGTGAACAGGCAATTGATAACTTTGAAACTTGCAAAAATTCATCACGTAGTTTGATATAAGACAAAAGAAACAGCTCAAGAAGTTGGACCAATTGTTTCTGGGTGTCAGAATTCAGCTGTACTGGAGATTGAAGAACAGAAGAGTCATTTCTGTTACACATGTCTTGATGAACTATTTTAAACTATGAGCACATATTGTCTTCATAAAAACAAAAGCCAATTTAAATAAAAATAACATGGCTATAAAAGGTAAAATGCATATTAATAGTCCTTTTCTGAAATATTTGCTTTTTTAAATCTAAATTTCCAAAATAGAGTATTGTTCAATCATTTGAATCCTCCATGAATTTGAAGAAAATACAGCTAATAAAATTTGTATTTTTTAAGAACTTTTGTGGCACAGAGGAAAGTTCTTGATATAACATTCAGTGAAAATATAGAAGAGAGAATTAAGCAATAGCCTTTCAATTTATGAATTTGCATAAAATCCAAAGAAACAATCCTAGAAGAAAATGTATAAAACCATTTCATTTACAATGGCATTCCTTGAATGACAGCCCTTGTAAGTTTTAGACTCATGATTTTTTTTCAAATATTCAAAAAAAGAAGTGAACTACTTTCATAGCCAATAAGCAAGACTGCATTTAAGTAGACCTGTTTCTTGGTTGGAAAGAAAATTCGGTCATTGAAAACTGGACCCATCCCTTAACTGTAGGAGCATGGTTCTGCATTCTGCACTGTAGTATGTTCTGAGACGGATTACCTCGTTGACACCTTTGTTCTCAAAAGAGTGAGACACTGAAAAGGAACACTTTAGTTGGAGGTCAAAGGAGTTCAAGAGGCCAGAATTCTGGGAGTGTGGGAGCAAGAGGTAAGTAACAATGAGAAAGCGGGAGGGCAGGGCCTTGGAAGCATTCAAATTGGGCCACTCTTCTCTTCCCCAAGAGACTTTCTATTTATCCCACTGGCCCAAAATTTAACCATCAGTATACCTCACTGCCTTAGAGGATCACAGACCTAGGGCACAGATGCAAAGTTTTGCTTCACCCAACAAGAAATTCAGACAACTACAACATGATTTAGAAATAAAACAAACATCAAATTTCAATATGATGTCTATAACGAGTTAGTTTTTAAATGGGACAGCACAGTACTCTCCTAGTTGTGATTTCAGATGCTTTGGTTAAATAGGAAAGGAGATCCTTGGTATCTTTGTTTCAGTTACTGCTCTTTGGTAGCTGAATTTTGAGATATTTCCTAGTAATTCATTGGACTTAGAAATTCTGAAGCCAAGAACTAGTTCTATGAGCTCTATCATGCAGCACGAATCTACCTAGCAATGACATAATTCATGTTGTTGCTCTCATAAAAATTGGCTTCCTCTACACACAAAGAGTTGCTTTTGTTTGTTTGTTTGTTTGTTTGTTTGTTTGTTTGTTGAGACAGGGTTTCTCTGTGTAGCTTTGGAGCCTTTCCTAGAACTCACTATGTAGACCAGGCTGGCCTCAAACTCATAAAGATCTGCCTCCCTCTGCCTCCCTGAGTGCTGGGATTAAAGGCATGCACAGCCACCACCCGGCTCCAAGTTGCTTTTGTTTTATGTTTTTATTTACTCATCTATTTTTGGAGCCAAGGATCCACACCAGGGCCTTGTGCTTACTAAAATTTGCCACACCAATGAGCTATATTCCCTAGGCCAGGAAGAGTACTTTTTAAAAATGAAAGCAAGTGGGCATCTCAAATCAAAATAGAAGAGAGGGAGAAAATAGGAATAAGATTATTAATATCTCACTTTATCCTCTTCCAAATTACCAAAGAAAACCCAAACATCAGGGATATTGATGAGCATTGCTATGGTAATAAATACATATTTCTCTACAACCTAGAAGATGATCCTGCATGGATTCAGTCACTGCTGCTAACATGCCAGTCATCATCTCAATAGAATTACACTAATATGACCACAAATTTGGACCATTCTATTAAAAGTAGAGCCCTGTGTGTTCTATAATTATTGTCCAGTTCTCATCATTTGTCCAATACTTTTAAAATACATTATTTCCCAGGAGTAATTTTTTTAATTGATTAAATTCAAGTACCACCTACCCATACTGTGTACTGAGGCTCCAAATTACCACAGTCCTTTGCAAATATATAAGAACAGCTTCCTGGGAAGTAATAGTAGATTCCATCAAATGTTTCAAAGTGATACTGTCCCCAGGTTTTGCAAATCCCATCTCTGCCACTTCCCATGTTTGGGACTAAAAAGAAATAAAATAATATTTAGTAGTGTAAAATAAATCACATCTGTCTCAAAATGTTCAGTCATGATAAGTAATTGTAATTTTCACTGAAATAAGTATTTCCACCCCACTTTGGGTAGCCCATAGTACAGAAAGGAACAAGTAGCAGTGAACAATCAGCTGCTCTTAAAACTACCCAACTCCTTAAAGAAAACCCAGTGTCCAAGTTGCTGTGAAGAAAAGACTTAAGTTAGAAACCCCCATAATTTTTGTTTCAAAAAGAAAGATCCAGAAAAAAGGAAGCACAAGGAAGGTGATACAACAAGTTGGTGATGCCAACAATGCCAATGAATGACTCAGAAAAGAAAGAAAGGTCACCATGGAGTATCATAGAACAGCACAGACAGCATGAGAATACCAGTCTCCACAACTCTTTTAAAAATGCCTTTATGGTATCCAGAGAGAAAAATAAATGATGACCCAAAAAATCATGTTTATATGCCTGGAAAAATGGAGCTGGAAGCATTAGTCATTCAGTTTCCTGGAATCTCAAAAAAAAAAAAAAAAAGGTGACCTCAAACTGGTGAGATTTCAAGCAATATTTATTTTAAATTGAACAACTTTGTCTATTATGATCATGCCTCTACTCTAGGTAAGCTCCTGCTCAATTTTATTTTTATTTGTATTATTTATTATTGTTGTTGTAGGTTTGTGGTGTGCATGGGGTCATGTTGTGTCACAGCAAACGGGTGTCTGAGGACAATTTTGTAGAGTTGCTTCTCCCCTTCTACCTAGGAATATGTGGGTTCTGGGGATAGAACTACCACCATCATGCTTGGTAACAAGGACTTTTTCTCTGCTGAGTCATCTCATAGTCCCCTCATTTTTTTATATTTTAAATGCTTCCCTTTATAATAATGTAAAAAAGTAGTAATATTTGCTAGAAAGTCACACGGTGATTGAATGTACTCCAGGGAAAACAGAAAGATAAGAGTCAATGCCAGTGTCTCCTCCTTTTCAAAACATTTACCTAAATTTATTAGCTCAGGCCAACTCTGGTCCACTCAGGAAAAGGCATAGACTGGTTGGCGCATCTTACAGGCAGTCTTCCCTGGCAGTGCATCTTACATCCTGAACTTTCCTTTAGGGCACTCAAGTTTAAGTGTTGCTTACTGATTATGTACCATTAGTTGCAGACGCACGTCTCTATTATTCACAAATATACCCTGCTTTGTGCCTAGCATATATTCTTGCAAATGGTAAAATGCCGGTTAATAGCGGTTGATAAGTATTAACATAAGATCCCACCTTAGACACCGTGGATAAAAAAATATTTTAAAAGAACGCCTTTAATTCCAGCACTCGGGAGGCAGAAGCAGGAGGATCTCCACGAGTTCGAGGCCAGCCTAGACTACAGAGTGAGATCCAGGACAGCCGCAAAGCTACACAGAGACACCCTGTCTTGAAAAACCGAAAGAAAGAAAGAAAGAAAGAAAGAAAGAAAGAAAGAAAGAAAGAAAGAAAGAAAGAAAGAAAGAAAGAAAGAAAGAGAGAAAGAGAGAAAGAAAGAGAGAGGAAAGAGAGAGGAAAGAGAGAGGAAAGAGAGAAAGGAAAGAGAAAGAAAGAAAGAAAGAAAGAAAGAAAGAAAGAAAGAAAGAAAGAAAGAAAGAAAGAAAGAAAGAAAGAAAGAAAGAGAAGAAAAATAGTCCCGTGTGCCTGCCTGAAGAACTCTCGGGACTGTCTCTATACTGAATATCCAGTTAATCAAATACAAAGAAGAGAAGTGAAATATACTAAGTAAAAGAGAGAGATAAATGAGAAGATGGTCCTACTGGACTAGTGTAATGGAAAGTAGAAAAAATGCTTGAGGAAATAGAGGCCGGTGGGAAGGGAGAGCGCACACATCTATTTTCTTTTACAGTGTTTCTAAATTACTTCAAATTGATGGAAATAAATTTGGAGCTCTCTAGCTAATGTCCCAAATCCCAGAGGACGAACACTTCCAAGTAAATCATGACTTAATGTTCTCTTTCATATCCCATAATTCTCTCATAAATATCCCTGAAACTTACCAATCTGGCACCTTGTCCCAAGAGCTTGGAATATTTGACAGTCACACGTACCGGTCTTAGAACAGAAAGCCCCGTTAAGGCATTCATGAGGACAAGAACCTGAGGGGCAAAATAATAACTTATCTTCTGGCGTGGATCAGCTCATATAAACACAATATGTCACGATCTAGCTTGGACTAGCTGTAACACTACTAACTTAAACAGAACCCGGGCCTTTTGCCTTGTGGTGCAAAGGAATTAAGCCATCAAATCTCTATCTGTTCATTTCATTATGTGTGCGGTGAGGCCAGAGAGACAGGTTTTCACATCTCAAAGTATTTTGCGAGGAAAGGTTAGCCTCCTTCGAGCAATGGGAAGGTCAAGTTCCCATGTAAGGAATCCCTGTCCCAGATGATGAGAACCAGAAATACCCAAGCTGTAGATGATGCCCTGCACTGAGTTTGGAACGCATCCCAACAGCCCTTTTCTCCGGGAGCAAGCACTGTGCTGAAGAATAACTCAGACCTTGCTTGCTGCAGGGAGAGCTCAAACAGAGCTAAAACTCGGAGGTTTCTCCCACCTTTGATGAGAAGGGTGGTATGTTTCATTTGAGGTTTGCCCATTAATACTAAGGCTCGGTTATAAATGACTTAGTCTTTGGAATCTGTGTCTAACAAAGGTGAGGCAGAAGCAAAAGTCCCTTCTGGTTGTCCAAAAAATAAAAATAAAAACAAAAACAAAAAAACTTTTTTGTGGAAAGAAAACTTGCCCCAAATAAATACATTAAAAAGAAGTGAATTGCTATGAGTTTTCTCTAATTTCATGGGCTTCTCCTGAATTAATTTAAGAAGGAAAATGAGTCCTAACGAAATTGTTTCATCTGTTAAGGAGAAGACCATGGCAACTGGCAAGGCTGAGGCTGAGCGGACCCCAGGAACACATCAGGAGTGAAGAGAACATCTTTGAGTCACTGTGAAATGTTGCTAAAGAAGCCCGGCCTGTCTGGAAGATGTCATGTTGGTGAAGGCACTTATCTGCTGCAATAGCAAACGCAGTCCACCAAACACAAGAAGGACCAAGCTCTGTTACCATCCCCACCCCCACCCCCACCCCCTCCCAAACATCCACAGGTTTCTCTTTATAATTCAAAGCCTTCAGATCTCTAGGTCAAGTTTAGGTGAGGGAAACTGTTTCAACTTAGAACTTTGTTTCCTCAAAATAAAGGTGAACATAATGTTTCTCATAAACCTACAAGCAATTTGGTTTTTAGGAGATGCACCATTTTTAAACTTGGTCTTGGATCAAGTAGTCTTACATTTTTCCAAAGGGTGGTTGTCTAAATATTTAGATAAACAAATACATCCTTTTTTGAAAGATGTATTTACAAAGTTGCTTATGCTCCTGGAAGCGAATATCAAACAAAATCTAAAAGGAATCACTGTGGCTTTAAACATAAATGATAAGAATTGCTTCTGTTTCTTTACATTTTAAGCTACCACCAGCTTTCTGCTTAATGGAAATAGTAAACTGCTGAGACAAAATTCAGATGTCAGGGAACAGGTCATTTGTTCAGACGAAAGAAGTAAAGCTTCTAATACCCATGGGTGCTTTCTCCAGCCACACTGTCCTCAGCTTTGTCTAAATGTTTAGTTGAGGCCATTTCTAAAAATACCCCTTGGATTTGTATAGGACAGGAGCGTAATAATTACTATTACTACTACCCTGGCTCAGTACCTCCAGTATCTATGGAAACAATCAGAACTGATTTAATATACCCCCTGAAGGGATCTCCTCAGAAACCATGTACAAAAGAACAGCTCTCCCCACACTGACCTTTTATTTTACTCTCGCCCCAGTTAATAGCTTCATGGAAAAAGTATCTTGGAGAGGTTGCTTCAAACTTTAAAACAGAGAAATAAAAAAATGTAAATTAGTTCATTTATTTACCGTAAGCCAAACGTGCTAATGAAAAAATTCTGGAAAGCATTTATAAATACAGAAATTATAAAGTGCTGGCTTAACATATCTTTCTATTTTTGAGATTGTCTCAGTGAAACCGGAGGGTTCCCTTGGCATGATGCTTAGAACTGGCTTCAAGTCTTCCTTTTGTCTCTTTGATAACTTGGGCAAAGTATTTGTCCTCTGTGCCTCATCCCCCTCCCTGCTACCTGCATCCATCATCCCGTTGTGAAAGGATTCCTGAAGAAGCACTGTATTTATATTAGCTGATTCTTTTCATAAAAAAAAAGTATCAGTTCTCTGACATTTCCAAGTACAGATGAATCAGGGGGAAAATACACAGGGTTGGTACACTAGCAGTCAGCAGTGACCTGACTGTGAAAACACCACTCACAGAAACACCATCTGACCCTTTCTGCTTAGGCACATTTCCTATCAGTTTAATGCCTCCATCTGTTCATCTGTAAAATGGGAACAGTCATGACACCAGCTTCAGTGTGTGGTATAACGATGATGTAAAAGGCTATCCTCTAAACCTTCAGGGTAGTGTAGTGCTCTCCACAGAAGACCAGCAATAAAGAAACTGACACTGTCTTAAACAATCGTTATGAAATATTGCTATTTAAGACTTACTGTAAACAATTATAGTTTATTAAAACTCATCAGTTATAGTTTTTCAGTCCAACTCAATTCCAATTGTATATGCAGCGCAGGATCATACCCTTACCAATAGCACTTCATTTTCACCTGATGACATACACTCAAACTCTGCACCATTATTATCAAATTAAGTAGCTGATGATGTTAGGGAAACTGGAAGGGGATGCAAGATAAGAAGGATGAGTGATGTGCTGTGAGGAACAAGGTCCTTTCTTCTCTAATTCTGATCATCCTTACACACAAGAAGTTTGATTTGGGCATTTTCCATTTCAGTAGTGTGTGTGTGTGTGTGTGTGTGTGTGTGTGTGTGTGTGTGTGTGTGTGTGTGTGTGTATGTAGCATGTTTGTGATTGTTTATATGTGTACACATAAGGATGTGCATTTGCCTATGGAGATCAGAGGTTAACGTTTGCTGACTTCCTCAACTACTCTCCACCTTATTTCTGAGACAGGGTCCCTTGATTGAACCTTGAGCCCAGGGATTCAGTTAACTGACTAGCCAATCAGCTCCAAGGATCTTCCCGTCTCCTTCTCCCCATCCTGGAATTAATGGTAAAAGGCCATTCCTGGCTTTTTACTGGAGATCTAAACTCAGGTCCTTGGGCTTTCCTGGCAGGTACCTACCTATCCATCTCCCTAGCCTCTCGGTACATTCTTTGATCAGGAGAACTCACCCCATGTCACATGACACAACTCTTAAACTCTCCCATTTGTTGAAGACTCTTAAAGATTCACTTCTGACTCCTTTTCCCATACTATGGCTCCAAGTTCATACTTTCATTATTTCCTCCTCACAAATTGGTCCATGTTTTATCCTCACTGCTCAGTCTCTTCTGTTTTTTTCTGTCTTGTCTTCAAACAAGTTAGACTCAACCAACAGTTTATGACCATGGTTCCACCAGGATGTCAAGTTTAATTCTTGCTTCTACCATACTGTTTCCAGCTGCTAAATCAAAGGGGCATCAACATCACTGAGCACACACCATCTTTGAAGCTCTTTGGCTCCGAAATAATTTATGCTGATCCTTGCAACAGAAACCAATCCATCATCTTTGATGTATGACACATGTATAGCTACTTCAACTCTGCCTCACATTGGCCTAAGTACTTGAACAAATTATCTAGTCCATGAAGCCTCAGTTTCCCAATAAATAAAGAGGAATAACAGTATCTCCCTTATAGAACCATGAGGATAAAGGGAAATAGTTAACACTTTAATAATACCATCATTCATATAATAAGAATGACAGGCTTGATACCTCTATTACTAAATGGAAATGGAATATAGGGGCTATTAAGACAGCTCAGCAGGTAAAGTCCAATGACCTGAGTTGGGTTCCCAAGAACACATGATGGAAAGAGGAAGAGGCTCCCAAAAGTTGTCTTCTGACATTCATGTGCATGCCAAGACACAAGAAAACACACATATACACACTCATATACACACACTCTCTCTCTACACACATACATACATGCATGTGCACACACAGAAATAAATAATTGTAATTTTTAAACCGAATACACTGTATAACACTAGACTAAAGCAAGCACATACATTTGTCTCTTGCTCCACTTATCTCTGACCTCCTCTAGAGAAACCCCAATGATCACTTAGCACACCAGCTTCCTGAAAATTCAGCATCCCTTCTGTTTACCCAGAAATAATACATTCCACCAGTGTAAAGTTTCACGCTCAGTTTTAGCTTCGGAGTCTATCTGAACTTAGAATAGTGTGCCACTTTGATAAGTGGGGCATTCTCTTTTTCCGTGTTATGTACATAACATCAAATAATTCATGGTGACTCAGACTCAATAAACCATTTGAACAGAAATGATATTTCTACAGATCCCCGGAGACATGGAACTTCTAAATTACAAGCTTGGCTATTCTTGTTTATATGTATAAACCATGACTCCTGGTATGTCAGCAACAAGAACCAACTGAACTGGAACAAAAGATACCATTCAAATGGGAAGCTGCCTCTCATGGCATTTAGAGCTCTGACTGGGAATGCGGTTTCAGCCCATCTCAGATTCACCTGGGTTCCTGTGGACATGCAGATCCTCCCACTCTTAAGCCCAGCCTTCTTTCTACCTCTGCCTGAGGACAGAATCAAGGCAGGACTTTTAGGATATTTAGGGCACACTAGCTCCTCTCTTTGACCAGTAGAGAAACAGAAATTGAGGTATAAATATCCCCGTTTCCTCTTCCCTTGCAGAAGCAAAGGTGACAGGCTACACGGTTCCTTATCATCTTCCTAACAAGAGCAAGCCCCGCATGCCTCCATCAGGAAGCACCCCATTAACATGTCCTGTGTTGCATCTTCCTCCTTTCTCCTCTTGCTTTTGTCTGACCCTTCTTTGCATATTTCCCAAAAACAGTTCGCCCAAGTCTTGGTTGGGCTCAGTGCCTGCTTCGGAAGAAATTCCTGAATGTAGGGCAAAGAATGCGGTAGTGGGTGCAAATGTCCATATAACTGATGAAGGAGGGCAGCCCATTCTTTCTCCTTCCTGATTGCACCTCCGCAGGAGAGTTGTCAACACCATAACGATGCGCCCTGCGCAGAGAAATCCCTGTAAGACTCACATGCATACCATTTATAGAAGTCTATGCCGGGGCTTTACTTGCTTACGTCACTGCCGGCATATTTCTGAGGACAGTTATCCATCCATCAGTGCCGTTTGCTTGCAGCAGAGGAATGAACTCAGCATGAATGGCCTTCCAGCCTCTTTCTCAGCAGCGCCCTGCATGACCGTGACCTCGTTGCTCCCTGTCATATTTCCCCTTTGAAAACTTAATCGACCTTAAATGGACTTGACACGTGTTCACTGGCCACGGGAAACGGAAGTGCAAGCGAGCCTCCTGCTCGTCATCCTGCCTAAAATGGACTCCAAGGCAAAGCAAGTGCATCCCTGCTTAGTAACAGAAGAGAGGGATTAACCTAACTCCTAGTAGGCAGATCACACAGGTATCCGTGACATGGAAATGCACAGTGGGTCGGTTCCATCCACGGAGCTCTTTATATGCACCTTTAGGACACAGTTCACACAAGTTTTTCAATCTAGAGTGTTCACCAGAATGGAAGAGGTTTTTTTCATCAATATATTTTCTACTGAGTTATACAGATGGGTTTTTGTGGTTAATATGCTCTACTGGCAAGCATGTCCTTCAAAATTATCACAGAAAATTCATTTTAACTCCTTCACATGATACATGAGAATTGTTCTCAGACATGATACCCCCATACAGCCCAGGCCAGACGGAAACTTACAATTTTCCTGCTGCAGCTTCTCAAATACAAAATGCTCCTTAAACTGAACTATTATTTCCACTGCTATGCTAGGTGTTTTTAAAGACCCCGTGACAAGGAAGAGGATTCAGTGGATAAAGTACTTGCTATGGAAACATAAGGGTCTGAGTTTGAATCTCCAACATCCACATAAAAAAAAAAAACAAAGCCATGTACAGTGAACTTTGGTCCCAGAATGTGAAAAAATCAAACTGATGTTGAGTAAAGAAGCTTATTCCCTGCTGGCTGGGTTTCAGAGTACCAAAAGGTGCCAAGGAGGCTGCAGGGGATAAGGGAAGTTATCTATTGATGACTTACCTAGATGTGAGCCCTGTGAACTACAGTAGTGGTCTGAATGGCATGATGTGCCCATTGGTACAATGGTGGCCCAAATGTTATAGGGTCAGCCAAGCACTTTCTGATTGGATTTATGGTTTGTGTGTGGAAACGCATGCCTGGTACTCTAAATCTGGGCAAGAATCCATGGTCGAATAGTTCAGAGGCCCCAGAGGTGAACCAACTATTATTATTTTGCTAAGTAGACATTGTAGCAAACTGCCCTCTAAATTCATGTCTCTATATAGTATAGATTAGTTCAGCTCTCCGAGAAATTTCAACATGAACTGGACGGTGATTAATAAAGAAACGCACAAGTAATCCAAGTGCAGAGAAATCGTGTGTGTGGAGTGCTAAGCCACAAATGAATCTTTTATGTTATCCCACAACATAGGCTCAGGGACCATGGAGAAAGAATGTGCCAAAAGATTGTAAGAGCTAGCAGTCAGGAAGGACAGGACTGAAACAATATCTTCTAGACATGACAGAACTGTTGGGCTCATGCACTCACAGTAGCTGTGGCTGTCTGAATAAGACCTGCACAGAATGAAGTCAGTCAGCAGTCCAGCATGAAATGGCGGTGTGGGGGTGGGAGGAGATCATGCACTGCCACCTTTAACTGAGGAGCTACTGACAGCTCAGGACTCCTGGAAGAGGTTTTATTTACAGCACTGACTCCTGGTAGGTCAACCATTCTTCAGTGGGTAGCTCCACGCCAATGAGTGTATGAGCAATACAAACTGAAATGAGTGAGTAATTATAAATTAAAAAAAAAAAGGACCACATTAATTTGGGAGGGGCATGAGAATATTGGGGATGCTCTGGGAGAAGCTGGGGGAGGTGATAAGGGTGAGTATGATCAAAATATGTTATATGAAATTCTCAAAGAATTAATTAAAACGTTGTATTTAAAAAAGCCAGGTGCAGTTCCATATACCTTGTAAACCAGCATTAAAGGGAGAATGTCCTGGGGCTCACTGACCAGCAGACTCCAGGTTTAGTGAAAGACTCTGTCTCAAAAAAGGGAGGCATAGAGCAATAGAAGAAGATACCTGTGGTGGTTTGAAAGAAAATGGCCCCCAAAGGGAATGGCACTATTAGAAAGTGTGGCCTTGTTGGAGGAAGGGGCCACTGTAGGGGCAGACTTTGAGGTCTCTTTTGCTCAAGCTTCCCTCAGTGTGACTAATTAGTTGACTTCCTGTTGCGTCTAAGTCAAGTTGTAGGACTCTCAGCTCCAACACCACATCTGCCTACATGCCGCCATGCTCCCCACCAAGGTGATAATGGACTGAACCTCTGAAACTGTAAATGAGCCCCCTCAATTAAATGTTTTCCTTTGTAAGAGTTGCTGTGGTCAGGGCATCTCTTCACAGCATTAAAAACCCTAACTAAGACAACACCTAATATCAAATTCTGGCCTCCACAGTGCAAGCACAGTAAATGCACTTATACAAGTACAAACACACCAAACTGTATAAACACACACACAAGAATCTCTAATCTCCACAAAAATGAATTTTTTTTTGTCTTCTAAATTGTCAAAGTATGACATCACATTTGTGTTGTGGAGTAGAATATTTGTTTAACTAAGTAAAGATGTGCTACGTTTGTTTGTGTTGCAGAATAATTAACTATGTAAAGATGTGGTGCATTTTTAATGATAATGCAATCATGTTGCCCAGTATCCTTAATATATAAGAGGAAGCAGGCAAAAAGTTCTCAAATTCACAGTATGCTACTCTTCAGAAACACCCATAATTTGGATGTTTTAGAAAACACAAGCGCTGTCTGTCAGTACATCAGGATATGTCTAGTGCCCTTTTGCTGTATTTAACTCATGTCATCCCAGTCTTTCTTCATTTCTTCTTAGGTGTGTTCACCTTGATGCTATTGTCCTATCCAATATTGTGTTTAATTTCTAAATCATTCAAATGTTCCAACAAGTAGATGGTTGTGGTGATACTTTATTTGTGCTGAAATGTGATATTTTATTTGTATGTTAATAAATAAAGTTTGCCTGGAGATCAGAGGTCAGTGAGCCATAAACAGAAGTCGGGCGGTGGTAGCACACGCCCTTAATCCAATCACATGGCAGACAGAATCTCTGTGTGTTCAGGGACACAGCCAAGCGTGGTGACATGAGCTTTTAGTCCCAGTATCAACTAAAGAGACCTGGAGGTCTGTATAGTCAGGCAGTGACGAGGAAGTCATGTGGCTGGGCTTAGAGCCAATGAGAAGGCAGAGCAGGAAGGCAATAAAAACACAGGTTAGACGAGAAGAAGTTGCTCTCTGGGCAAGCTACTATGTGGTAGTAAGAAAAGCTAGTCATGGCTATTTGCTATTTCTCTGAACTCTTTGGCTTTCACCCCTGTATTTGGCTCTGTGTTTCTTATTTAATAAGACTGTTTAGAAATTTGTCTACAGATGGTATCCAAACCACATCAACACTGAAGCCTATGCACAGGTTACTGAGATGAACGAGGGGAAAGAACAAAAGTGTTTCATTCCAAACAAACCAATGTGAACTTGAGAATATATTTGAGGGTCGCAAAAAAATAAAATACAATAAAAGCTTGCAGAGAAATGCCTTCACCTCTTCATGCTCCTTCCTGTCTTGTTTTTAGCATTTCATTCCCTCCACAAAGGTCTCATTGTTGAAGTGACAGCAGAGTCCAGAGCAGAATGAATTATTTCTTTGCCTCTCTCCATCTGAGGCTTAACCTACCTGTACTGCTAACAGAGTTCTTTTCTGTTCATTTTCATGAAACTCACTTCTGCAAGAAAACACAAAGAACTTGTGTAGTCAGAGGCCCCTGGGCAATCTGAACAGCCTTTCCCAAGAGGGAGCTGGTGTTTTCCTCCAGATCTCCATCACTTTATCAAAGAGGCCTTTCTTGGTTTAACATTTAAAGGACCCCCTCCCTTCTTTGGAAGGGTGAGATTTGGGTGGTGAAGCTATCTCGTTTTACAAAATTCGGGATTGTCCCCAAATCTCTCTGGGCTCTGATATAAACTGAATTTTAGGAAGGAACTTTGAGATTGAGAAACAAACAAAATAGTGTAATGTTGTAGCACCAATAGGCATAGTTTATTCTCCCTAAAACTTCATGAGTTTATTGAAGTAGATATTTATTAAGGATGCTTTTGCCTTTCCAAATGTAACATCCAAATTTCATCTGTTCTATGTCATTCAAAAGTAGAGTGATACAAAAACACAAGGACATTTAATTGCCAGTTATCCAAATCAAATAATTAATTCACTAACTTACACATCTGTTTTATGAAATTTTGTAATTTATATTATTTTGTATCATAATTCTGCTTTCCATTAAGCAAAGCAGTAAAAACTATTTTCATTATTCATTACTAGAACCATTTCAGTCATTTAATCACTAAAATCGGTTTACTTTATGTCAACAATAATACATTAAGCAGTCAATAATGTATGTCAACAGTGAAATGTAAAGAAATATATTATTGGATATAATTTCTTTACAATCTGTTAAATGAAAGACATGTCTCTCTAGGACCTACAGGTAGTGGACAACACCAAGATCTTCTTACTAATGGAAAAGTGAATACCCATTCATTTCTAGTGTTTCAAAATATTTCAAAGAAGAACATCTCATGCTTTTTGTCAATGTTTCATTTGTTATATTTAAAAAATGGACAGAACTGTCTGCTAAGCTTGGCATATTCTCATTCCTTTGATGTTTCAGAATATAAAGACAAAGAAATACTCACTCTGATGTTTCTGTCAGGATAGATGATGCAGAAATGTATCCTGCCAGAGACAAATATAGATTGTTGAGACTGCAAGACATACAAATAGCTCAGTCTGGGTTCTGCTGTTTAACAAATCATTTTTATCCAGTTCTAAAATGTGGATTGAGAATTGCTGCTGGCTATTTTATTCTTTTTAGAGGACTCTGACCAGCAAATAATCTATGATACACCTGAGGTGACCAATAATCCAGAAACTATGGTCAAGACACAGTGGCATCACAAGATGGAGTGAGGGCCAGACATGGGATCGCAGAGCTGTTCTAGTTCTGGCCCTTCCACTTAGTATTTGGCAAGCAGAATCATGATGCAAAACAAGCCACAAAATGATCATGTAGAACAAGCCAATCTCAGGGCCCCTCCAGCACAGCAGCTACATCTTTTCCTTGAGAGTGAAGTGCTACTCTGATTGGAAGGTAGTGACTTTGATGCGTCTTTCTGTCATTTCTTCCATTTCCCCTAAAAGTTCCAAAAATAGACTCTTTTTCAGGGATCAAAAGGTAAAAATTAGATATCAATAAAAGCCATCTCCATAAAAACATGTCATAAAAATTAATTTATAGGTCAACGTGCTACAAAAATTGAATTAATTTATAACTGCAAATGTTAAAGTTAGATCTAAAAAAAATTCTTTTAGATTTTAATGATATGAAGCAAGTTGAAACACTCAATTCCACTCTATTACAAAGTTTCAAATGCTTAAATTACATACAGCAAACAGTTGTGAATCATGTTTGAAAGGGGTAAGTTAGAATGGCAGTCCATCATGATAAAGGCATCGTTTCAAATACCCACTAGAGAAAATGTAAAAAAATATCAAGAAAAGGATTGAAATTCTCAGCATTCTTAATAATTCAGTAAAACTGTCTGAATGCTATTTAGTACATATCTAGTCTAATGACTTCAAAATGCTTGAGAATCAGCTTCAAAGGGAGCTATATCAATTTCAAGAGAGAACGACACAGGAGAAATGAAGGTAAAAAAAATACAAAAGTTCTTACCTTGTAATGCAAACAGCAGTATAGGAAACGAGAAAACGCGCCAAGGTACCATTAAATTGAGTTTTCTCACAATGTTCATTTCAGTGGAGTCTTTCTCCCTGAACCGAAACCAAATTATTGGTCTTTACTATGATGACATCTTACAAGTGTGAGTATTTGCTGTGTGCTCACACGCAAATAAATACAGTTATAGGATAAAGCAACTGGAAGAAAAGCCCCGGCTTTCTGCACACAGCATCTGAGGTTTTAGAACTCACAGTCAATGCCTTTGGCTGAGTCTCTCATTAGCAATGCAAGACAGCCTCTTGCCTGAGCCCTGAGCCGGTATTAGTTACAGCCAGCCACACACCTGCACCTCATACACCTTTTTAGCCGATGTCAGCCTTTTGTAACTTGAAAGATGGGAGCATCCAAACAATGCTTGTTTTTATCTTCTAGCGTCATGAAATAACCACTCTTCCTAAGTGTTCATCATCCAGGTCTTGTTAGTTACAAAATTGTATCCTTTGGGGACAGGTGGAATGAAATCTAACCAACCTTCCTTACAATGTAATATCGTATTCTTAAAAGTTAAACTGAAGCTATGTGCGTATATTTTCAACTGAAATCCTGTTACGGTCCAGTACAAGTTGACATTTTCATCAGCTCACAGAGCTGTTAAACGTTATAGAGCAGATGTAGATCTGAAAAGAAAACAATGTTTTCTCCTAATACTTATCTTTAAAAAGAAAACAAAACAGCTTAATGGGTACTGAAAACTTTCCCTAATATTCCATTTTGCCATCCTCTATGACAAGTACCTGTTTTGGTCACAAAGAAAGATTTCTGATTCCAGCAGGAGGACACTCTTCTCCAGGAGCAATTGACTGCCTCGAGCAGCAATGGAGAAATGCTTTCATCTTTCGTAATGAACACTGAAGAGATGATCTGAGCCCACAAACAACTCAAGGCCACACTTGTACAGTGGTGCACACTTCCTGCAGCAGATTCCATGACTTTTCTTGCCCCTGTCCCTCTCACTTAGCAGATAGGCTTCAACAACAAACAACATCTGATTACAGAGTTACTATCCAACAGTTATTACTGTTTGGGGTTTCCCGGACACTTCCTTTGCAATAACTTCAAAGTATCCAAGGGCTGACTCATCCAATATCCACTACATACGTAATTTCCTGTTATTGTCCCAAGTTCACTGATCATGTGCTGTTATTGTTCCATGTGGTCCTAATTCTCCATTGATAAATAACAGCTAATTCCATGAAGCAACAGAAAATGTATGCTCATTCAATAAAAAAGTAAGCATGAAATATACACATGAATAGCATTAAAATTATAAAGTAGTGATGGTCCTGTCTAAAACACACATGTGCACACTCATTGTGAAATTTTAATGCATGTATTTTAAAGTATGCATTCAATAATATTTACTAAATAGTTCATAGTCTGTTATTCTTGAACTAGAAAATTAAGACTATACAGATAGTTGAGTTAATAACTTATATTTACATTTTAAACATTGGTCCAGAAATATGTATCTACTAAGCCATGTTCAAAACTACAAAATCATCTGTTTTTAGTGTATCAATATAGGATAATTGAAATGCTATTACTGGACTCTGTTTAGAACACAAAAATTTCCTTCCAAAGGCAATTTTTCAGACTAAGGGAAGTAAATTTTTTGTGTAAAATGTTTTAAATCAACATACATTATTAAATCTTTGCTTCCCTGCCCCTAGCTAATCTAAAATAACGTTTCTTAGCTTTACACATAAATCAACATATGATATGACAGATATTTAAATAATGCTTCATAATTGTTCTTCTCTGTCTAATAACACCTTGATTTTTTCCTTGAAACTTAACTTTTTTTCACAAATGATGTGCATATAGAAAACTCTTGAATTGAAATCAAAGTTAAATTTGATGAGTCGATGGTTTTATTACAAACCTAGTTCTTTTTAATGCACCTGAAAATTGCCCAGAAGGAACTAGAAAGTCATGTGAACTTCATGTTTCTCATATAAACTTTGATAGCACATGAAATCAACTGAATTTTCACCTCAATTTTCATATGGTATCTTTTGATCCAAAAACATCCCTTCAATTTTCACTGAATAAAATTGAAAATTCCAAGACTACATCATCTGACTTATTTTTTCTCTCTTTTTCTGTTTTAAAACTCTGTATTCAGAAGCTGGAAGGTGTTTTGTCTAATAAAAAAAAAAGAGTAAAAATTACCACATGCACAAAAAAAAAAATGATCCTCAACATGGCGTTCTTTTATAAGTAGAGGCTTACAGTGCCTTCCCTCTGCTCCCCTCTGTCAAGGCTTCTCTTAAGGAAGAAGCTAAAAAAGAAGAAAGAACAATGACAAAGAAAGCAATAACCAAATGCCAAGTTCTTTTTCAACTAACTCCGTCGTGAACTTGTTACCTGAAATGGTAGTCAGCATGAAAATAAGCAAAACCGGCTTCCATGAATAGCTCCAGCAGAACAGAGAGTTTAGATGAAAGATTAGGCCCAGAGGCACAAAAGGGAAATTTATGACTATTCCTACATGTGATTATTACTGTCAAAATGACAACTTTTATATTTCTTTCTACCCTGACAGAGGAACATAAGCCAAGTGTGAGTCATCCTCCAGTTTATGAAGAGATGAATACTAAGTTCATATGAAGCCCTGAGTCAAGCGTAGAATGCAAGCAATAAACAGCTCCCTTTCTGCCACAAAAAGCACTGCACATTTTCCCACGTGGAATATGAGCTTCCGAAAGTTGACACCTGACAACCTCTTAGCCTCAACACAGCACATTCAGAACAGCTGGCAAGAATGGGAGAACTCTGTCCTCATGGTATATATGTCAACGATAAAGGGACTTTGTAACAAATTTCGTTGTCTTCGAAGAAAGTTTATTTCCCTAGAACATTTATATAACATTAATTTACATGAATTGAGATTCCCATCTAAAGTAGCTAACATTTGACTTCTATAATATCACAGTCTATTAGTGAAATTCAATTATGCCCCATTTGTTTTGCTAAACCTAACACATTGCAGGTTCCATAATTTTTTCCCAGAATTTGTCTTGTCATTCAGATACCAAAAAGGATCTATCTCTAAGATGAATTTTAGCACTATGAATTTCATTCTTGTATTGTAATAAAGTAGTCTGCAGAACCCTACATGTGCTCTCACACTGTGTGTTACATGGCTATGCCTGAGATGTTTCACATAATTTATTATAGATGGGAGACCGATCTTAACTTTACCATATAAGGATATGGAATACTTCATCAATCATATCCGTATTAGCCATTACTTCAGTTTTTAAGTTTAGACCCCAAAGTCATCACGCTACAGCTTATAAGGACATTCATTTTCCAGGCTGTTGTAGGGTGACTGGTTTGCACTATCCAATAGGAAAAGAAATAATGTTCCTCCACGTAGTTTTCTCTTTCCTGCATGTTACTTCTGTACCTCTCGTGTTCTCTGAACTATTACCCCATGTTGTATTTACACTACCTAGAGCATTGCATGAGGTATTAAGTGAGTGGCGTTAGTTTCTCATGTCTGTGATCACTGCTTGTATCATTAACATTTGTGTGCACCTACTTTAAAACTGCTGAGAGAAAGCATTTTAATGTCCTGGGGGCAAGCAGAGACGGTTTCAATCCCAATGAATGTAGAGTTTGCTTCTCTCAAGGTGGACTCCTTTAAGGGCTTTACAGTTTTGTGTGCTGTATATATTGTTGGCATTTTCTATGAGAAATACAGAGTTTAGGATATATCTATCACCCTCCACATCCCCCAAAAAAAATGCATCTACTGCTACCACGTCTTCCAGGGTTTTCTTTGATTTCTTAGCTTGAAGGTTCTTAGAGTCTGAATTCAAGTCATGACTCCAAATTAAAGGAAATCTAAGTCCACTTCTTGCTTTGGCTTTGACTTCTGGGAATGTCCCTTACAGTTACATGGAAGCATCAAGTGATTTCTGGGGTTAATTTAACTATCTTGTTTATCATCTCCAACTATTTTGTAATGGGTAAATTTTAAGATCATATAAACTACCATATTACCAAAACCAGAACACTAACCATCAAAGACAAGTTTTTATTTCCAGGTATTTTAAATATTTGTTTTCTTTTTATTAGCTTAATTATGGCTTACCTTCCCAGCTTAATTATAAACAGAAATTATTCAAAACAAATAACTGCAAAATCTGTTTTTTAAGAAAGCACATCCAAACAGCTCATCTCTGGATACATTACACAATTTAACCAAATAAAATTTGATTATTAATAATAATAACCAAACCATATTAATAAAACCAAATCAGTCAGATTTCTCTGTGCCATGACTGGATGGTTTCCTATCACACCAAGATTCTAATTCAAACAGCAACAACCTGGCTCATGGTGGTTGCCACTGTAACCACTGGATAGTGTCCAGTGTCAATTTAATCACACACTTCCTCTGAATTGGAAAGGTTGACACTGAATTGTCTTTGGAGATATGGCCTTATTGTGATTTTTTTTTTTCAGCAGACCACAGATCAGTATGAAAACAACAGAAGAAACCCAGTTCTTCGTTATGATTTGAGAATCAAATAACAGTTGGTCAAGCCCCCAAAAGTGCACCCCTTATCTTGACATGACCTCTTTCCTACTCCCAGCCTGAATTAGACTCTTACTGAGTTACATACAAAAGTGTTCTCATGACCTCCCAAAAGCTGCAATGACAATACCCTGGTCTGTTAGAAGCATTTCTTCAGTCTTCTCTTCTAACAAGATAAGTTTATCAACTTTACCTAGCGCACAGTGATAGTTCTCTAACTGGTGTATACAAGAATTACCTAGGGAGCATATAGATACGCAGATTCCCAAGCCCACCTTCCCCCCCAGTTCATGCTTTCTGACTGAGTCAAGAACATAAGGCATCTATGTGTTGAAAATGAGAGAATCTGGCTTTAGGGAATAGAGTACAAAAGAGGTAGGGGAAAGGGAATACAGACGAATTGTAAATACAGTGGAGTTGATGAAATCCTTTGGAATACAAAGAAACAGAAGGTGAAGAATTAA